AAGACTAAAGACAAGACTATAGACTATCAACCAAAGTTAGTGATGTCACCCGTATGCCTTTGCTACTGTTGGAACAAAATTACCTAAGCAACTCTACTTGAAATCTTCTTAGTTAATCATAGGTTTGGCCCACCTTGTGCCTGCCTCAGGATTTTGCTCTATAAAACTTCCTTTGAGAGGTGGGCTCATTGGCAACCTACTCAGGGCCCCTCTTGTCTGTCTGGAGCTGTACCTATTTCCCATTCCTTTTCCCCAGTAAATTTTCCTACTGTTAACCTCCGTTGTTCCTTAGAGTTCATTGTTCAACTTCGGGGAACGCAAACTTGGCGTATCTGACATTTAACATTTGCCCCACATCACCAGCACTATGCCCTGGCTCCTGGTCCTGCCAGGGGAACTGGCATCATAAATCTATCCAGAAAGGCTCCCAGGTTACTCTCCACAGCCTCCCTTTCTCCCCCTCCCCCTCCCTCACCATCCCCTCCTCTTTCCCTCCCTCCCTTTGCTTCTCCCTCTGCATCTGCTTATTTATCAATATACATTCACTGATAGCCACGGAGAGCCAAGTTAATGGTACCGAGGGGTACAAACACTTGTCCTCACAGCAGGCTGACTGGGACTGTGTCTTGTGGGTGCCGGGGCCAATGGGAGGACAGGCTTTCTGGTGAGTGTGGGGGAGGGGCTCCAACCTGGTGAGGGTGACAGGGATTAGGGGAGATATCCGGGTGGAAGGCAGCCCCAAGTGGGTGTTGCAGGTGCATCTGGCCACACACTGTGTGTCTGTGAGGCCGGGAGGTCTGAATGCACTTTGGGGGACGTTGCATCAGCCCCACAGCATCTAGGGTACCAGGCCACCAGCTCTGGCTGTGCCCTGAAGGGTTTCCACAGGGGCTGTATCTCAGGATGTCCCCAACCACATCCTCCCAGCACCTGGAGACCTGGACTGTGGTCCCTATTTTCAGGACCTGGAAACTGACACTTCAGAGTGGTGAGCAAAGGAGTTGGGGGCCCAGCGGGAGGGCCCTGTGCAGGGGCAGGAGAAGGGTGGCGGGAGGGGTTGGACTGCACGTGAAGAACACACTGCAGGGCACTGTTCAGGACGAGATAGCCAGGTCAGCTTCTCCATCTGCCAGATAACATGTTGGGCCTGGCCTGTTGACGCAGGCCTGTAATTCCAGCACTTAGGAGGCTGAGGCAGGAGGATTGCCAATTTGGAGCCCCTAGCCCCAGGGAATTTAACAAAACCCTATAATCTCATTAAAATAAAAGAAGTCTGGAATATATCTCAGAGGTAAAGGTGCAGTATTCCATCCCCAGTACCATAATAAAAGGGGCACATTGGCAGGCCTCCCAGATCAGAATCTTATTCTCTGCCCACAAGCCTGGGACACCCAGCTTCTGCCCTGGGCAGCCACCCTCTCAAAGGCCCTGAAAGGTCTCTCTTGCCCCCTGACAGGTTCAGCAAGTCCCCTGTCCTGTGGACGCACCTCACCCATCACCTCAGGGGTGTCTGTCCTGCCCAACCGGGACTCCCTCAGGCCAGACACTGCTCACCTCCATTAGGCACCAGTTGGTAGAAAAGCAGAGACCTCCAAATACGCAGTCACAGTCCCACCCATGGCCACCTCACTCTCACACTCCAGCTGCTCAGGGTCACCTTGGGCCTGGGGCCCTCATCCTTGGGGAATGGCCATGCTGTGCAACCTCAAGTAATTTGTCCAACTTCTCTGAACCTTCACTTCCTTCTTTCCATCCATGCTTCTGTTTTTCCGTTCAACACTAACTCATCCCTCCCTCTCATGCCACAGGCATTGGTTGAGCACCCTCTCTACACCTCACCCCGCACGTCAGAGGCATGGAATGAAGCCCTGGGAGACCTTGCTCGCCGAGAGCTACAGGACTGAGCATGACCCCTGTCCCTGAGGACCTCCCTCGGGGGCAGGTAGAGACAAAACCGACCTCTGAATCGCAGAAGAGGGAGCACAGGCTTTGGAGCTAAGCTACCTCCTGTGAGGCCCTGGGTAAGTCACTTCACCTCTCTGAGCCCATTTCTTCATTTAACATGTGATGAAAATCATATTGTGGGATCCCAATGAGGACCTGGCTGGCAACCATCAATTTAGGTTTTTAAAAATTCACCTTTGCCTCCGCCTTGAGGCCCGAAATTTCTTACGGAAACAAGAAAATAAGCCTCTCTCTTGCGGGTCTCGAGTATCCGTGACCTGTGTGTGTGTGTCTTTGGGAGGCGGTGGCCCTTCAAGCATCTCTCACCAAATAGCCTGCATTGTCTGCGACTGCTCTGCCCACACGGGGGGGCTCTGCTCTCCTAGGGAGCAGCCCTGACCTTTGGGGGCATCACCAGAGAGTAGTTCGGCAGCCTTGATTGTTTGTGCTACTGTTATCTCTGCCCCCAGAGGTGGGACTCATTATTAGAGAGGGAGATGAGCTCAGAGAGGCCTGGTAGGGATTACATAGCCGAACGTGACCCTCACAGCCTCCTATGCTAACCACTGCACAGCGCGTCCCTGCAGGGGCCGATGAAGAACTCCTGACCGCACTGTGCAGCGGCTTGAGCCCAGGCCTGCACCCTCTGGGTCTCACTCAGTTTTAAATCCTTACTTTTCTAGTGAGGTGAGACAGGGCCGGGTTTTCTACTCCTTCTGAACAGATGGGAAAACTGAGGTCACCATGGCTGGAACCCAGGTACGTGGGCCCAGCCTAGGCTCTGACCTCTGGCCTCTTCCTGCCACCTTCTCGGAAGCCAGCCCTGATCCCAACTGGTCCCCGCTGGCATTGCTCAACCCCTGAGTCACCCAGTGGCCACAGTTCTGGGGAAAGTGTGACTGTAGGAGAAGAGGGAAGTGGGGCAGTGGCTGGGTCACAGATACACCTGTTCATTCACCCTGTGCAGGACCCCTGGGATGACCTGAAAGGTGTCCTCACAGCCAGCACCACTGGGCATCAAATGTTTGTTCTAAATTCTCCCCGTGCGTTCCCTGGCTTGATCCTCAGGATGCCTTGCATGGTGGACACTGTGATTGTCCCCATTCTCATAGGTGGAAATTGAAGCACCAAAATTAAGCAATGTGCACAGGACCTCACAGTGTCGCAGCCAGCATTGAAGCTGCCACCTGTACCGTGGGAGATGGATCAAGATCAAGACCAAGCCATCATAATCCTAGAGCCATTTATAACCTAATCATATTGACCATCACACTGACAGGATGCTGGGCATGCTTCCGATTTACAGTTGGGGGCACCGTGGTGGGAAGAGAACAAAGCCTCCTGAGCCCTTGTCCTCTGAGCACCCCCGGAGTGCACACAGTGAAGGAAAAGGAACCGAGGGGCAGAAGATTGCATCTTTCACAAATGGAAGAAGTCAGACAAAGGCAAAGACGGTCCTTTCCTTTGGGCAAGCCTGGCCCTCGTGGAAACACACAGCCTTCTTTCTGCCAAGCTGACTGTCTCTCTGTGAGGTCCCTCTCCCGTGGGACACTCAGTATTTCTGTGTCAAGGCTCAGAGACCGTAGGTACTGCTTGTTCATCACGCACAAGAAGGCACCAAGTCCCTAACGTTTTGATCACATTCTGCTCAGGCCCGTGAGGGAAGGATTCTTGCCCCCATTCTTGGAGGAGCAAATGGAGTGCCCTGCGGCCAAATACCTGCCACAGGCACATGGCCATCAGGAGCAGACCGGAACTTGAATCCCAGCCTCCAGACTGACAGCCACTCACAGCTCTGCCCTGGAAACTTTCACCCGATGCAGGGAACAGTTTCTGCAGCAGTATCGATAAAAGGTGCACCAAGGGCCGCCTCTGCAGGTCGGCAAGGCCCACACTACACCACACCCCTGGGTTTGTTCCCTGAGACTCCAGGCAGAGTTCATCCGACCAGAGACAAACCCCACTAAAGCAATGTAGGTGCACCCTAGCCCCTGTCACTCAGAACAGAGGCTGGGGCCAACTCTACAGCCCAAATCTATCTGTGAAGTAAAACTTGTTTCAAAAACAAAAGCAGGAGAGACCCACACGCCTTTGCCTCTCCAGGGAGCCTCCCTGCTCCAGGCTCATGGTGGGTGAGGAAGGAAAGGAGACTGAGCGACCAGAGGTGCTGGGGTTTGAGAGGTCAGAAGCTGAGTCCCTGGAAGGCTGGCTTTGCTCACTTCTGGCACACAATGGGCCTCTGGAAGGCCAGCGGGTGGATGGAGGGGTGAGAAGAGGGGAGGATAGGAGGACAGATGATTCCATGGATGGCAAGACAGAGTGGGCAACAGCATTTGCCAGGTCCTGCTGCAGGGAGGTCCTGGGTGCATCTGAACCTGAGCCACCTCTGCAGGAGGGTCCCTGAGCTGCAGCATCTAGACACCTGCTCATTTGCCTGTCTGAGGTTGGGTGGCTCTTGGTGGGCGCCTGTCTGTGTGTTTGGCTATGTCTTATACCCTGGTGTATCTCTGAGATTCCCGTCTGGTTTTGAGTCCCTGTCCCTCTGGCTGTGTCCAAGTTGTGTGCCATTTTTGGGGGTGTGCCTGCGTCCACTTGTGTCTCTGTGTCTACAGCCGTCTCTGAGTCCCTTTCGTGTGTATCTCAGCATGTGTGTTGGTCTCAGATGGGAGCTGTAATCCCGCATCTGTGGACCTAGCCACCAGTGTTGTTTCCTGGGTGCTCCGCGTGTCTGACCTCAGTGTCCCGGCATCCAGGCCGCCTGAGATCGGACTCCGAGGTCCAGGGTGTGTCGGCCCCTCTTGCCTTTCTCCTCCATCGCTCTTTTCGGCCCGCCAGGGGGCGGCCTTGCCTGTGTCTTCTCCCTGGGGCTCGAGTCCCGGCCGCGTGCAGGGTACAGGGCCCCAGTGGCCTCGCCCGCCCCGCCTTCCCGTCGCCCCGCCCCGGCCCG